TTTTTTATTTTTTTTTTATTAGAAAAATTGTAATGTGGAATTATACCTTCCAGGTAACAGCTTAGCCAATTCAGCCCATTTATTTCCATTAACCCGGTGCGCATTAAGCAGAGTAAGCTCTTCCTCCAACGTCCAAGCATCCTTCTTAATATGGGGATTTAAATGATTGTGCCACCTGAAATGTTTCAGGACATAAGAAGGATAACAAATAAGCCATAGAGTGAGAACAAGCCATAGGGATGAATCGAATATTCCAACTTATAAAAACTCTCTATAAGAAGAAGGTGCGGAGTGAGAATAAGCCATAAGGTACCCCCTTCAGAAGGGGTTAATATATTTCAGTCACTCATGAGAATCTCCCTTCAAGTAAAACAAGAAATTCCTGTACTGAACTGAACTCAAACAAATTACTACAAAGATATCAATTGTCACATATTACATGTATGCTGCTACCTCTCAAGTTATGATGAAAGAGCAAATCAATCGGTCAAACTTATCACCAAGATTTTCAATTGTGTGAAACTTTATGTGAGATTACCTCTCACGGCACTGTTTCCCAATGCGACCTGGCAATGACCTTGCTATGACAGACCATTTTGTAGGCCCGTATTTTGCAACCAGTTCTCTGATTTTCTCGTCCTCCTGCAAGTGATGAAGCCAGTCCAAATTTTGAATCACAATTAGCCATGCACAGTATACTTCGAGAAATGAACAAAATCACTAATATAGATTCCGACCTCTTGAGTCCAGGGACCTTTGACAAGTTCTGGATTCAGAACCTTTTGCCATCGATGCAAGCACTGCACTTCCGATCTATCCGGAAAGAACTCAGCTACAAGCATATAAAAGTTCGTGCGAGATACATTGTTCAGAAGGTCGAATTATATAGAGGCATATCTCAAATAGTAAGGTAAATGAACAAAATGAATGCTTGAGCTAACCATGATAGTTTGGAGATCGACATTGAATTATAAGAAGCCGATTGATCATTTTCAATGTCTTGAACCATGATAGTTTGGAGATTTTCGTTTTCGTTAATTTTTTCCCAAGTCATATACTAACAGTTACTAGTTTAAAAGAATGAGTGTCAAATCTATTTGATGTTGATAAATCATAAATGAATATAGATAGAACTCATCTCCATAGGGAAGGGTGTGCTCAAGCCACATTTATGCACACTAACAGTTGGAAATAATCTTGGAAAAAGACAGCTTCCAACAGATATTTGAAACAATTTATCATAACTTCCACGATAAGCAATTCACATTCGGTGTAACATCAACACAGTTACGCTAAAAGATCATAAAACTACTACAACATCACAAATCCAATTGAAGCTGCATGAAGAACATGGGTTGCTAGTAAATTATACCTATTTTCTTCCAACTTTTCCCTTTGAAAGCTGCAACTGCATTTTTTAATGTATCATCCTGAAGCCAAAAAAAAAAAGTTTGGCACCTCTTATTTACATCAACGGCAATATTACATGACAGTGAAAACAATGAATGGAAACAGAACAATTACGACATAGACTTAGACTTGAAATTTTCCTTTCCTTAAAAGCATTAATCTCTAGTGTTCATAACGCATTCATTTCAATATTACAATAAATTCCACAATTTCAACTCCACAAACATACAATCTCTTGAGGAAAAAAATGAAATAAAATTTACCTCCTCTGGTGTCCAACCTCCTTTTGCTCTTCTAATTGGGCCTGTAGTTCTTCTGCAACAAGAAAATAGTTCCACTGAGTAATACATCATCAATATAATTTTAAATTTTTTTCCAAAATTGAAGCAACATCAGAGCGGAATATATACCGACTACTCTATTGATATAGTTTTACCATGTTTCACGCAATAGTATAAGCAAAAAGTATGATAAAACAGATTGCTGAGTTCTAGGAACAACACATACAAAAAATATTAATCATGAAATGCTAAAATCATATAATATAAGAATCCGAAAACACTAAACACAAGAACAATATAGCCACAAAGGGAAGAAAAACAAAAGGCGGCAAAATTGTTTCCAATATATAAGTAAATACACAAATCCATTCCAACACTCAACCACACATAGCAGAACAGGTTAAAGAAAGCAATACCTATGAGCTGGAGAAGTACTTGATGGACTGCTTATCCGGGGAGATTTCACCGCAATGCTGCTGCTGTTCTCCGAAACCGACGAGCTTGAGGCAGCCACAGATTCCATGTTCTTAAGCAATAAATCATCAGCTTCTACCTCTGCCATTAGTCCCTACAGTTCATCTGACCTCCAAATTCAACAACTTCCCTATTCAAAATACACCAAGCCAATCAACCCAAACAATCTTAGAAACTGTGCACACAATCATTCAAACAAAATTACAAAATTGAACGCAGAAAAAACAATTACAACGCTCCTACCAAACCAGCAGAAGCCCAGATCTCAATATAGCAAATGATAATCAATAACAAAAGAAAGCCCAAATCAGAAAACAAGACTCTGAACCAAAAGGTAAAATTAAAAATTAAGAACTTACACAAATCAATAGAAGCTTGTTCAAAATAGATGCAACCCATTAACATCAATCAATCAAAAAAAAAATTAAACCCAACAAAAGAAACGCCCACAAGTTAACGAAACTGAAATTCAAGAATCTCAAAAAATCGAAAAACCTCATGAAATTGCGACCAAGCTCGCACCAAAACCTTGAGCCCACAAAAGAAAAATCCCTGAATTCGTTAATTAAAAGGGATAAAATTCGAGCTGCGAAAAACTTCGTCGAAAGTAGAGAGAGAAAGTGAGCAAGAAAATAATTATATATATATATTTCGTATGCAACGAATACTTACGAAAGGGGGTTCGTGACGGCGCCGTTTGTTCGCCGTTAGGTCGACGATTGGCGAAACACGACTGCTGCTCTAACCGTTAGGGACAAAAGTTTGAACCTCAAACGGCACATTTTCATGTTCAGCCACAAGTCAAAACGCTGTCGTTTCACTGCAGGCTAATCTTTCCCGTGTTGATAACGACCGTCGATTAAGTGATGGACGGCCGAGATGGCCGATTTGTGGCGTGATTGGGTACGTTGCAACTGATTCCGGATAAAAAATGGGTCTTTAATTCAGTGAGGAGGCGTTAGTCTCTTGAGTTGTACAGAGCCGCTAGATTGGTCTGTGGACGGCTGGGATTGTTTGGGTGGGGGCATTAAAGGTGTGTTTGATTATAAATTACTTCAATTAATACTTAAAATCTAACTCAATATTAATTCAACTTTATTATCACAATATTATGAAAAGCAATGCAAAGGGTAAAGATATTTATATTAGTATTTATAAATTAAAAATATTCATTAAATATATTATTTATAAATTAAAAATATGGAAGAATGCGCAATACAATTTGCATACATTAATTTATTGAAAATGTTATATAGAGTTTAAATTTGTGCAAATTATATAACATAAAACAAGTTTATTTAAAATTAGCACACAACTTGTACGGTGCACGTAATTGATAATAAATTATATTATATTCATTTGAAAATAAGTATTATTTTAGAATTTTTATTCAGAAATACGATTTCGCTACAGTGTGATTCCATAAAATAATTATTTTGGTAAAATTTTATCATAAATTTTAAATCTATCATGAATAGTAAGTATAATTATAAAATTTATATTGTTTCAGTAATTAAAATGAACTAGTACAACGCCCGTGTATTACACGGGTGCTTGCTAATTTTTTCCTTAAAATCTAAAATTATTGAGAAAAATAGTTGAAAATTTAAATAACTTTTATAAAAATATATATTATTATATATTTAGTATGACACTTTTTATATATTTTTTTAACTTACAACATAGAACTACATTAAACAAAAATATATCAACTGAGAAATAATTTTATTTTTCTAATAAAATTTAATAAATATTATTTTTTATTATTATAAAGGTAAATATTATTTATTTATTTTATATATACAATATAGATGTCAAATCGAAGATCATGAAAAGATGATTAATTTGATATATTATATATGTAAAACCGTTAAGAAATACAAAAGTTATCAACTTTTAAAATACATTTATAATTCAATAGCTAATTGAAGGAAACAAATCAAAAGTCAGGGATATATTAGTTACTTAGTGTCTCACTATGTAAAATTACAAAGAATTAAAGGGTTATATTAGTACGATATTAAAATACCTAAATTAGCTAAATAATATTTATGGATGTCCGAACCTAGATATTAATTATTAATATATTAATATTATTTGTTCGAACCTAATTACGAAGCATGATTCTTCACCAAGTAGGATTCCGAAGCACCAGAAGCAGCCACGTAGGCTTAGCGCATTCGGGAATTATATATAGGGGCGATTTATTTATTTATAAACTATCCAAATAAAAAAATAAGTAGTCGAGTAATTTATCAAGCTATAAATAATTGACTATTCCATTTACATCCAGGTTAATATAGACATGTAAGTTATGAACAATCACTTATTTGACTTTTAAAATTTGGAACTCAAATTTGGACTACGCAGTAAATTCCGATATATATTTCACACACACACACACACACACACACACACACACACACACATATATATATATATATATATATATATATATTATCTCGTAATTTTTAGATTTTATGTCGGTTACCTTATTGTTCAAACTTATCAACTAATTCTCTAAAATTAAATTACAAATTTTAAATTTTATTAACCAATATTTGTTCAAAGATTGTTATGATTTTCAAGAGGAATACATACCAATTTGTCTAATTATCATCAATATCTTATGACATGTTATTATGAAAATGTGCTAAATTTTAGAAATCACATCACATTGATTTTATAACAAATCAACCTAAAACTCGACTTTATGCCCATACAAAAAAAGAAAAAAAATCATATCATTTTTTTTTTGTTTCAAAATTTCCAAATGCACTTCTATCATACCAATTAAAATTCATACCATATAAATTTGGACATTTCATACCAAAATAAAATCGTACACTTTATACCATAAATTTTCACATTTAATATTATAACACATTTCCTACCAAAAAATAAAAATGATCATCAAATGCCTCAATAAAATCACACACTTTATACTAAAACCGTATTATTAATTTTTCAAATTTACCATAGATTGATTAATTAATTTGTAGAGGTGGATTTTCTGAAAATTAAAAAAAAAAAAAAATACCAAGTTTAGTAATTTTAAAATTTTAGGCGGTATTTTAGTTTCTATTTCAAGTAAATACAAACCTTTTGATATAGAGATAGATATAATTAAAAAATATCAATTAATCATTCTTACACATTAAATAAACTTTAACTCACTGTTCATCCACTCACATAATTTTAACTAGTCATCTCTTCACATTATTTCTCTCATATTTTTACGTTAAATCAACTTTAGTTATTTAATTTTAAATATTAGATTAAGATAAACTCCAAATTCCATTAAAAATTAATCATACCAACTTTTTTCAAAATTAACTATGTTTAACAAAAAAGAAAAAAAAAAAAAGAAAAAATCATTTTGAACCTATATATTTGTATCCAAGCACGCCCTAAGTTACGAAGATAAAATCCGATCTTACGAGGATATAGAATGAAACAAATTAAGGGATGAATTTAAAGATAAAATAAGAAAGGGATGAATTTATTATGGAGATTGTTTGTCAAATGTGTTTGAAGTATGAAGGTTATAAAGTTTTTGGAATACTATGGTTTTTCCGTATATGAGTGATTTGACATTGAGAGATTTGAGAGTTTTTGGTGTACAACGGATTTTCGTCTGTGAGTGACTTGACTCTTAGTGTCGTGTGTTCTTGGTCTTATTAAAGATGTAAAAAAATACCTTAAATAGGGAGATTAAATGCGGTCATCGACTTCTTGAAGTCAAGACTCAAGGGTTGAGGGAGAAGGGTGTTATTCTATTATTTAGCTTGGTCGTACATGTTAAGTGTTTGTTTCATGATTATTATTATTGTTGTTGTTTCTTGTTTTACCTTTGGTGGAGTAATTAGTCTCCTTGTTTTCGTCACATTGTAAGAAATGTTTAAGAGGCTAATGAATCAATTTATTTATAAGCAAAATTAAAATAAAAGTAAGAATGTTGTTTTCATATAATTGGCTTTAACCCAAAACTAAAAATGCTTATAGGTCACTTTAGGTGACCCCTAACTCATCAATAAAGTGTTTTAAATAGGTTGATTTTTTTTTTCCAAAAAAAAAAAAAATCATCAATAAAATACATATTCACAGGCGGCTAACTAGCAAACTGAAGCATCCAAAAGCTGAATACAGAGGGAGGCATACAAGTCAGAATGACTCTAGCCTATAAACTAGCACAATAAATGCACACACAATACTAAAAAGCTACAAAAGTTGTAACACCCCGCTATCTTACTTATATCAGAGTCAATTTTTCGCGAAAATCTTTTCTAAAATTACTTATTAAATTGCGAAATCTTAAATTGGGATGCTACTAAAAACCTTTCTGTTCCGAAAAAATCTGTTATCTTTTTCTAAGTTTAATTGTAAAGAAAACGATTTATATTTAGTCAAACTAGATTGTAATATTGTATAAAATCTGACTGGTAAATCGGATCAAAATCTTAAAACTAACATTCAAGTTTGAAAAGCTGTAAGTGTCAGCGGAAGTAAAACGTGGCAAGATATATACAACAAAAGTCTGCAAAATGGCATGTAGCCAAACCCACGACCACGAACTACCAGCTGAGCTCACACCTCTGGACCGACCATGTGATCTGAAAAAGATAAAAGAGTGGGGGCATGAGCACTAAAAGCCACTGTGCTTTGCAGGAACTCATACTAAAGTAAACATCAATAATAATTGCAATATCATGATCAATAGTATATATAACTGAAATTGATACTGAATCTGAAACTGCTACTGATCAACAGTACATAATCTGAAACTGGTACTGGATCAGAACTGATCTGCCGGCGATACTGAGTGCCGAAAGCCTATGTGCACACTCTAGTGGGCAGATTACGCACTAGAACTTAGGATGAACTTACGGTAACTGATGGCCACCCTAAGCGGAAACTGAATATACAAACCTCGAACATGATATATGTAATTATACTCAATGTAATACCCAGTCTGAGTCCCCACCTGAACTGCTGGTTTTGAAAATGTAAGTGTTGATTGATTGCTGACTGATCAAGTAAAAATATATAAATAAACAAATACTAAGTACTATGCTCAGACTTACTAAA